ACTCATGCTTGGCTTGCATAGCGTTTTCACAGGTCATCTAGAGCTGGAGGGGTGAACGTCCACAATTGCTGACATCCATCTTAGTGGCTAGTATTGCTACTTCTGATCTAGTGCCCTTGAAACGGCGGGGTCTCTTCCAAGGACTCGGAAACATGTAAGTGTAAACGGCATGCAATATAGAGACATTGCTCATTTTCACTCTCAGATTCTATGGTACAGGCTCTGGGCTTGGTGGCCCACTGGGTGGATTTATCAACGACAGATTCGGCTGGCGCCTTGCCTTCCTATGCCAGGTTAGTTAGCCTGAGTGATTACGTCGCGTCACCTCACGACGCTGTATTATAGATTCCTCTCTTACTCCTCTCTTTCGCACTCGTGGCCATGTTCGTCAACGTCAAACTTCCTGTCCAGCCTCAAACGACGCGGGAAAAGCTCGCTCGCATCGATTATCTCGGCTCTTTCACTCTGGTGATCGGTGTTGGCGCGTTTCTTCTGGCGGTGACCCTCATTGGCTCGGAGGGGCTTCCTTGGATACATCCTCTGGTGCTTGGCCTATTTACGTCAAGCGGGGTATTCATCACCGCTTTTATTACCGTCGAGAACTTTGTTAGCAAGGAGCCGATCGTGCCTCTACGGTTGCTAAGAGAGAAAACTCCGCTAGCTATCGCCGTAGTGAACCTGTGAGCTGAGGTACCGGATCTATATTGAAAAACCGCTAACAATCATCCATAGAACTGTGTTCTTCGTCTCGTACTCTCTCGTGAGTGCCTACTTATGAATGACATGGGCACTGACTCATTGTCCAAAAAAGATGTATAATGTACCTGTGTATTTTATTGCGGTTCGCCTAAAGAGCTCCGAAACCGCAGGTACGAGGAACACTGCCGCATGGAAGAAAGATATCATGCGTTCTAAACTTGTTGGTGCCTAGGGCTACATCTGTTACCCTATTCCGTGAGTAACATCAGATTGGTCAACTACGCTACCACTGATACTTTCATCTAGGTAGCCGTAGCACTAGGCTCAGGCGTCGCGGGCCTGTACATGAAAGCGTTTGGGAAATTCTATTATTACACCTTAATGAGCGCATCGGTGTTTGTGATTAGCAGCTTTCTTATGGCGCTATGGAAGGATTCAACCTCTAGCTTGCATCTTTGGGGCGACGTCGCGTTGTCGGGGTTCGGCATGGTCAGCTTGGCTACAACAACTATCGTTGTAAGTCTTGGTGTATATCAGAAACAACTTGCCAAACCTGAGCTCACTAATTGGCAGGCCCTGATTGCGTCTGTGGATCGTGAGGATGTCGCTGTCGCGACGGGAAGTAAGTGTTGAGATCACAGAACTCGATGAATGCATTTGTTGACTATTGCCGGCATAATTCCTGTCTCAGTTGCCTTCACGTTTAGAACGACGGGTCAGGTTCTGGGTGTCAGCCTCAGTGGCACACTCCTGCAGTCCCAGCTGGTCAAACATCTCCGGGAACGAATAACAGGCGCAGAGGCCGAGAGGATTATCGAAACAATCCGGCGGGGCTCGAAAGCTTGAGCTGTCTAGCGTATCCATGTCTTGACCAACCACATGGTTTATCACCAGACACTCGACAACCACTATCCCACGTCTTGATCCACCAATTCGGCAAGCAGCTATCGAATCATATGCACTATCTCTTAGGGTGGTTTTCTGGGTCCAAACGGGGGTCGCACTCGTGACCTTCCTGGCATGCTTGACCATCGAGGAAAACCCCTTGCCTGATACGATGGCAGAACAGGCGAAGCAGGATGGGGAAAGGCGGCGGAGACGAAGCGAAGCCCAGGATGCTAGCGGAAGCTGATAAAAGAGGATAGATGACGATGTTAAAGTTTGGAAAGACTCGGAATAGAATTATAGATGTCAGACCTTTCCGTGACATCAGAATATTCGATGACCAATGTGTTTGCCACCGACAATGAATGTGGCCGCCTTCTCTGGCGCCAATCTCCACACGGCCCCTTTTGTTTTTTGACAGTATTGTCGTCGGTATTCCCACATCTAACGCCGGTATCATTGCGCACTTTATAGACAACCGCAATGACAGAAAATAATGCCACCGCTGAGCGACAGCCACTCTTGCAGAATGGGGGTCCTCGACCCTACGGCTCGGACCCATCTTTGATTGATGCGGCAGCACCGAAACCGCTCAACAATCCCACTAGAACGGAGCTCAATCTGTAGGCCACATCCATGCACAGCATAACCTAGTCCCCCCAAAGCTGAAAACGGATATGCCATGTGTTCTCAGGATTGTTATTGCCCTGTTCAGTGCAGGTATGGAGGACCAACAACTCGAATTGTGGCTTTATGCGCTGATTTCGCTGGTATATAGTATTCCTAGGAGCCTTAGATACGGCGAGTACATTCACGAGGCCAATGTATGGGCGCTTCGTCTCATTCCCAAAGATTTTGACCGCCTTCTTGTCTATAGACGATAGTGGCAACTCTTGTGACCTCAATCGGCTCTGACTTCAACCGCGTACATCAAGCGTCTTGGCTGGGCTCCTCATATCTTTTGAGCGTATGTTGCTTCACGCCCCTCTATGGTCGCTTAAGTGATATTCTCGGTACGTTACCTTTTGTCTAATGCGGAAAAGACGTATTAATGTTCCGTAACAGGCAGGAAAGGTGCCTTACTGCTGGCCGTATCATTATTCGGTCCGTGATCAACCCTGGTTCATATCGCTCTCGTGTTTTTTAACCTTTAAGCTGTGACTTCTTAGGCACTGGGACGGTTCTTTGCGGACTCGCGCCTTCCATGTATATGCTAATTGCCGCCCGTGCGATTGCAGGGATGGGAGGTGGAGGGTGAGCCGACTGTAGTGACCGCTTTGACACGATGCGTTGAGTAACTGCTGCTCTAATCTTCTGCAGCGTCATGACAGGTGTGCAAAACCCCCAGCAATAAGGCAATCAACGATACGTAAAACTAATGTCTTGTTGCAGTGGCCAGTATCACTATGACGGACCTGGTGCCCCTTGCTTCACGTGGCATATATCAGGTATTCACGTCTGCCCTTCCAATCAGTACGAAGCTGACTTGTGTGTGTGGATCCAGGGCCTTGGGAACGTGTAAGTGGCCCGGCTTGCCAATGGGCGATGATCATGGCTCTGAAATCTATTCAGCGTGGCTGGCGTTGGGGCTGGGCTGGGCGGTCCTCTTGGTGGATTCATCAATGACAACTTTGGCTGGCAATGGGCGTTCTTTTCTCAGGTGCGATAATCATTTCCTTCGGTCGATTCATTGATCGTTGACCTGAGCATGCTCTATATTTAGATACCTCTCCTCCTCATGTCATTTACGCTCATCTTTACATTTGTTGATGTGAAACTCCCACAGCAGCCCGAAACGACGCGAGAGAAGCTGTCTCGCATCGACTACCTCGGGTCACTTACGCTCGTATTGGGGGTTGGTAGTATGCTGCTAGGGGTGACACTGAAAGGATCTGAAGACATCCCATGGAGTGATCCGAGGGTGTTTGGCCTACTAGTTTCGAGCACAATCTTCATCGCCGCCTTTATTTACGCAGAAACATGGGTCAGCAAGCAGCCTATCATGCCGTTGCGTCTTCTCAAACAGCGAACCCCACTGGCGGTGGCTGTCTCAAGTTTGTGAGTACTGCTATGTGATCAGTAAGCTTTCCAATTTCTAACGATTTCTTAGGTTCACCCAAGCAGTTGGATACGCCTCGGTAAGTGACGGTTGGTCGCCTCGTTTACAGGAACAGTTTTGTTGAGTAATTCATGCTTCAGATCTTCAACCTCCCGATCTTCTACACGGCTGTGCGGTTAGAAAGTGCTGAGACGACAGGTTTGCTTGAGCGTTATTTCGTTCGTTCTGTCTGCAACGCGTTGACATATTCGGTGACTTCTTAAATCTTAGGCCTGCACCTTCTACCTCTGGCCGTAAGTCAAATCAAATGATCTTCCAAATTTTATATGCTCAAGTTATTTCTAGGCTGCTATGGGAATAGGGTCTCTTGGCGCCGGCATCATCATGAAAATGACTGGAAAGTATTATTACCTCGCCCTTACCGGCGCCCTCGTGTCTGTCGGTAGCAATGGTTTACTCGCTCTATGGAATCCTTCAACGTCGTCGTGGCACCTTTGGGTAGACATGGTACCTTCCGCGCTGGGAGGAGCAGCGTCGGTTACTTGCACGCTCATTGTGAGTATAAACAGCACTCCTCACAGCTAGAACAGTATTATTGATCATCCTTTGTAGGCCCTTATCGCCACAGTGGATCGTGCGGACTTTGCTGTAGCTACTGGATGTCAGTCACTAGAATCGGCGCAGCGACTCCGGGCAACAACTGACGTTTTCTCGTCCTTTAAATAGTATCCGCGCTGTTCAGATCAACAGGTCAGGTCCTTGGCGTTAGTCTCAGTGCAGCATTCCTCCAAGGGTTGCTTTCAAAGAATCTGCGGCAGCGGATAACTGGTCCAGGATCGGCAGAGGTTATCGATATGATCAGGTTCGGACGTTCCTCGTTACGGATGATAGAGCGCCCACTGATGTATTTAAATTGATCCTCAAGACATTCGACGGATGTGATTCGTACTCTTGACCCGCCATTGCGTCGAGCGGCTATCGAGTCTTATGCGGCATCTCTGCGGGTCGTCTTCTTGTTCCAAATGGGGCTCGCTGTCTTGGCGTTCTTGGCGTGCTTACCGATCGAAGAGAACCCACTACCGAGCACGATGAAGGAACAGGCGGAGCAGGAAGAGGAGCGGAGACAAGGGCAAGTGCGTGGGCGGGCTGGTGAAGTGGCAACAGATGCTTGACGCAACTATTAGGCTCTTTTTATATTCATGCCTTCGAACTGTTTCCTCGGAGCTTTCGTAGTGTGTTGTGAGACGTTTTGGCGGTGTAATACCATGCCTTTGTGACAACTCGACTGAAAGCCTAATTCCACAGGCGAAACGTATTTGCGGGGCTTGCATGGGGGTCCAAAAAGAATGTTTCCATTAGCCTAACGTGGGGGTCGAACCCACAACCTTCAGATTGGTTCATTTGGAGGTGATCCAGAATGCTTGACCAATTCATAAGAGTCTGACGCTCTACCGATTGAGCTAGCCAGGCGGCTGGGCGAGAGTTTCCCAAAGAAGCTTTCAGTCTCACGCAACGAGAAACTGAAGCATTTGTGGGTCGTCAGCTCCACTGGATTGCGGTCGGAAGCACTGTCGAGCATCCCAGGAGGGCGCTTACCACCGAGAGTTGTCCATCAAGAGGCCATGGATGGTAGTTGTGGCAAACCTGGTGGCGCGTCTGCATTCGGGCTTGTGAGGCAAGGTGGCACTGTAGAGTTATGTCGACCATGCAAGGGCTCGAGCAACGTACTCCGAGATCCAGATTCGGGACAAGCCAGGAGCAGCATCCGGGACAGATGCATAGACATAACCTGAAGGGGTCTTATGGATGTAAGCACACGTACCGGAAAGCAATACTTGACATGATAACAACGCGTCCCAGGGTCATCGTTCGCCGTTTCAATCCAGACTAGACCCACCCCCCATCGCCGTAATGCACATTAAGACGCTTACGATCCAAGGTTTCAAATCCTATCGGGATCAAGTGAGCTAGATCACTCACTCTGTATTCATGACTTGAGAAGCTAATCCTTTGACAAAGACGGCCATTGAACCTTTCAGGTCAACTGATCCGTGTTTGAAAGATTCAAGCTCTCATCCTGTCGTTCCTCATTTACAGCCCAGGTCATAATGTCGTAGTCGGGAGGAATGGAAGCGGGAAGAGCAACTTTTTCGCTGGTGAGCTCTCACCGTTCGGGAGTTGTCGCGTCTATGGCTGATTGATGGTCAATGTCTGTTCAAAGCCATCCGGTTCGTCCTCTCCGATGCATACACGGCCATGTCGCGTGAAGAACGTCAGTCGCTTCTTCATGAAGGTGTATCAGTTACAACTACACTCAGCGCGTTCGTTGAGATCATCTTCGACAATTCTGACGGGCGATTCCCCACTGGGAAGGATGAGGTGGTCCTCCGACGAACGATCGGTCTAAAGAAGGATGAGTACAGTTTGGACAAGAAAAGCGTCCAGAAGGCGGACGTGATGAACCTATTGGAGAGTGCTGGTTTCAGCAAGAGCAACCCATATTACATTGTTCCTCAAGGTCGCGTGAGTGGATAGGCCTTATCATCTGCTTTCGTATACTCAGCGGCGTATCTCACTTGTTAGATCACAAGCCTAACAAATGCAAAGGATTTTGAACGCCTTGCATTACTCAAGGAGGTGGCTGGGACCAAGGTGTACGAGCAGCGACGGACGGAGAGTCTGAAAGTGATGGAAGAGACCAGTACGCGTTCCTCCCAGATCCGATGCGTGGAGTCTGCTCACCACGGGCCATGTTATATCAGAGGCAAAGCAAGCCAAGATTCGCGAGGTCATCGAATACATTGAAGAGCGTCTCGAGGAGCTAGAGACAGAGAAAAAGGAATTGAAGGAATATCAAGAGAAGGATAAGGACCGGCGATGCCTCGAATATAGTTTGTATCAGGCGGAGCTGACGGAGATTGTCGAAGCGCTTGATGAGGTTTGTGATTCTAGGTATCCCACATGTGGGATTGATAGCTGAGACTGACGTTTGATCTGCATTAGCTCGAGGATGAACGAAAACAGGAGGATATCAGCGCCAAGCAGCGCCGAGACGATTTCAATGATCGAGAGAAGCGAATTGAGGTATGGGACACTCATATGCTTCATCCTCCATCCCTGCTAAAGTCTCTCCTTGGTTCACCATTCAATAGCAACTGGAACAAGAGATCAAAGAGATGAAACAGCAAATGTCGATTTCAAAGTTGTCGAAGCAAGGTTATGACGACGAAATGAACGAACTGATTCGATCACGCACGGAACTAGAATGTACTATCGCCGACTTGCAGCAAGTTGGAGAGCGAGGGGAGGAGCGAAGGGAGGAGCTGGAAGCCGATCTTGAAGAAATCCTCGGCAAGATCACAGAGAAAGAGGCCGAGCTGATGGAGCTGGCGCCGAATTTACAGGATCGCATCAAAGAGGAGAAGGAGGAAAAGCGAAGGTAAGCCTTTTCTGGGGCCAATTCTCGTCATGCGGTATTCTTGCTCACTGCTTTCAACAAACACCTTTGCAGACTCGACGAAGCGCAAGCCCGACTTGAAGCGCTTGGACTCAAGCAAGGCAGGGTGGCACGTTACACGTCGAAAGCGGAACGCGACAAGTTTTTGAAGAAGGAGATTGCCAGCATCGAATCTTACCAGACCACCCAACGCCAAAATTCTGAAGAGATTCGAGGGGAGTTGAATGCGGCTCAGAATCGATTGCAGGAGATCGAGCGAAAGGGCGAGGAGGTGCTTCAGAATTTGGACGATAGGAGGGAGCGGCTTCGGGTGATGGGAGAGCAGCTGAATGGTTTGAGGGAGGAGAATAGCAAGTTGGTTGAGAGTCGGAAGTGAGTGCTTGCTCTCGCTCACCTTGATATCGCAAGGATTTAAATGCTAATGCGTTCGGTGACAGAGAGCTGTGGAGAGAGGACGCTAAACTCGAGTCCACGGTCGGGCATGCAAGAAACGAACTGCAAACTGCCGAACGCGCCTTGGCTGGCATGATGGATAAGGTGGGCGGTATACAAAGCAGAGCACAAATGAAACCGGCCTCTGAATCGCTTTTGTTAGGACACTGGCAGCGGTCTACGTGCCCTCGATAGCGCCGTCAAACGACTGGGACTAGAGGAAAACGTCGCCGGCCCGCTCTACAGGCTATTCGAGGTGCCAAAAGCCAAATACAAAACGGCGGTGGAAGTGACAGCGGGAAACAGCCTCTTCCATGTCGTGGTCGATTCGGATGCGACGGCCACCAAACTCGTAGACCTCATGACACGAGAAAGGACTGGACGACTCACGTTCATACCCTTGAATCGGATCAAGCCCAAGCCCGTCACATACCCCGATGCGGATGACGTGGTGCCGTTGTTGAAGGAGATCAGGTATAACGAGCTGCATGAAAAGGCGTTCGAGCAGGTATTTGGTAAAACGTGCGTGTGTGAGGACTTGAGCGTCGGTGCGGCGTACACTAGGAGCCACAACCTGAGCGCTGTGACGGTACAAGGAGACAAGGTGGACAGGAAGGGCGCGTTGACGGGTGGATATCAATCGAACAAGTCGAGATTGGACGCGATCAAGTCCGTGAAGAGTTGGAGTGGCAAGTTGGAGGAGGATCAAAGGCGGTTGGCGGAGGTGAAGGCGACGATCTTGCAGTTGGAGCAGAAGATCACGAAGGTCATGGGGGAGATGCAAGTGTTGAGTGCGAAACGGGACCAGGCGCAAGCGTCCAGGGACCCCTTGGCGAACGAGTCGACGATGTTGCATCGGGAGCAGGAGGCGTTGAATGAGAGAATACAGAGGTTGGAGGGGAATCTGGGAGATATGGATGCAGAAGCGAGCGGGTTGAAGGCTCGAAGGGACGCGCTCAAGGTGGAGTTGGGTACTCCGATGGTGAAGACGTTGTCGGATGAGGAGGTGCAAGAGATCGAGGAGTTGGGGAGGGAGGTGGAGCAGTTGAAAAAGTCTCTGGCTGAGGTTTCATCAACCAGAAGCGAGGTATGTGTACCACGTTACTCCGTTCTTTTTCTATGTTCTGACCGTATTCGGTGTCTATAAGCTTGCTAGCCGGAAGAGCCTCTTGGACATCGAACTTAACGAAAGTTTAAGACGACGGCGAGAGGAACTACGCGGGAAGATCGAGAATCTCTCCAGCAGTGATGGAGCCGATACAGACGCCAATGGAGATGACCTAAAAACTCGGCAACGGGAGCTTGTTGGCCTCAATAGTCGTATAGAGGAGCTTGAGGAGCAGGTGACAGGTAAGCAAGATGTCGAATGGTGGCTTCGCCTTAGTGGCACTAACCCGCGTCTATTATTTCTAGAAATGGAGAAGACGAGTGACAAAGTCACAAGTGACCTTCGCAAGGCAAGGGACCTCCTTGAAAAGACGCAAACGCAGCAGGCAGAAGACAGTCGAGACATCTCCCGGAAGCAGAAGAACGCCGAACGGTATCTAACGAAGCGACAAGTATTGACGAGCAAGAAGGATGAATGCAACAAGAACCTCCGAGATTTGGGTGTCCTGCCTGAGGAAGCATTCGAGAAGTACACGAACGTCAAGCCTGATCGTGTGAGTGGGACTGACCGCCGATACAGGAAAGAGGATCTTTGTGCTCAAAGACATTCCATCCATCTTAGCTTGTCAAAAAATTGCACGCCATCAACGAGGGTCTGAAGCAATTTGCGCACGTCAACAAGAAGGCGTTTGAGCAGTACAACAATTTCACGAAGCAGCGCGATCAGTTGCTCAAGCGGCGAGACGAGTTGGATGAGTCAGAGGAGTCGATCACGGAGCTCATCAATGTATTGGATCAGCGAAAGGACGAAGCCATCGAGCGGACATTCAAGCAGGTGTCGAAATACTTCGAGGAAGTGTTTGAGAAGTTGGTGCCTGCGGGACGCGGGCGATTGATCATGCAGAAGCGAATTGATGTGGTACGTCGTTTGTATGAGAATACGTGCTGGATGGAGTTGCATAGTTTTTTCCCTCGTTAGGAGGAACTTGGAGAGGAGGAGGATGACGAGGACGCTGCGAGACAGCGGAGTTCGATCGACAACTATACGGGAGTCACGATCAAGGTCTCGTTTAACTCGAGAACCGACGAAGGTCTACGGATACAGCAGCTGTCTGGAGGTCAGAAAGCACTGGTAGCGTTGGCGACGGGTATGGCTGAGTGATTTACGTTCACGAGTGCGTCGGACTAATCATCGGTCATGTCTAGTCTTTGCAATCCAGAAGTGCGATCCAGCGCCGTTCTATCTTTTCGACGAGATCGATGCGAATCTGGATGCTCAGGTGAGTGGTATCGGGCAGGTTATCCGAATCTGTAGTGCCGACTGATGGAACTGTATTGCGCTATTTCCATCGTGCAGTATCGTACTGCTGTTGCAGGTAAGTCTCGTGGCTTCGTGAGCCTGGATTCCCTTTCTTAAACTCGTGTGTTGCTTGTGCTGTTTTATTAGCCATGATCCACGAGCTCGCCACCTCTG